GTCTCGCCCTGGTCATAACAAATGCAAAACCAAAATTGCAAACCCATTGAGTCTGATAAACAAACCAAAAATTAAGGTGCAAGAAATAATAATCAAAGTTGCTATTGTTAATCCCCGATAATGACACCAAAAACTTGTTGTGTGATTTGAGTATTTCAATTGGTGCAAGTGTACACGTCACAAGTTATAGTAGATATCGTCTCCATAGGGATTGGTGTATCTCTATATTCTAACTTCTTGTATTATAAAAAGAAATAAATTGGTGATAGTAGGAGTTTGAATTAACGAGTAAAATAAATGTGTAAATAAATAAATAAAATATTATGATCGAATAAGAAAGTAAGTCGGGTTATCATGAGTTACAATGTGATGACTATATGAATAGTTCGAGCAATTGATTGTCGAGGCAACTCTATTGCCTTGACAATTGAGAATGATTCAATTGTCGTAGGAATTGGGTTCCTCCATTCAAAGCTCGATGAAGCGTTCAATGCCTTCTTGTTATCCTTAACCCAAAGAACTAGTAAATTGTGCATGCCTTGGTGATACATCCCTGTGTTAACCATGGGTGAACAACAATTGATCTTACACTACTTTTAGCCGTTGAATTCTGAATCTTATCCCTAAGATGGATTAGCCTTGACCAATTTTTGTTAAAATGAAGATCATGATTATTCATTTCTTGAATCTAATTCTCTGATATTAAATAAATGGATAATTCGAGATCCACTACCAATTTCTCGAAATCAAATTAAAAATCAAGAATAAACAAACTTTGAACTTAAACTGCAATTAATGACCTAAAAAATCCAAAACTTTTTACAACCACAAAAACCCAATAACCCAAGAGTTTAGTTCATGGTTGGGTGCAAAAGAAATACAAGAAATATTCCTCAACATGAAATGAATAGAAATAAGGAAGAAGATGTGTGATCAACCCTCAGTTTTTCTCTCTAGTTGGCTCCCCTCTATAGATTATGATTTGATCATTATTTATAGAAGATGATTAGGTCGAATTGGTTGTTGATGATTTTGGGATATTCGATGAATCTCAAAGATCAACCGAAAGAATTGTCAAGAGGGGGTGAATTGCTTTTTGAGAATATGGAGTAAGAGTAAAAGGATAGAACAATTTGCACAAGGATTTATAGTGGTTCGGCTTTCAACTAAGTCTATCCACTACGTTAGCTCCTCACTAAGTATTTTTCCAACAAATTCATAATTTGTTCTTTCTTTTTCAAGGATAAAGGGATAACCTTTACAACTCCCTAGTTTTCACTTGGCTAAACTAGAACCAAAACCCCTTTACAAAAAAAAAGATGTAAACAAGAAAACCTCTAAAAGGAAGGTGTTTACAGAGATTTAAGCTCACAATAAACAAATAAAAGATTTGCATGTTAGAGTATGCCCAAAGACCAATCATATGATGATTGTAATAATATATTTATTTACCGATTTTATTAAATAAAGGCATTGCCACTATTATTTTCAGTTATGTGTCTGTGTTAACATAAACTGAAAGATAATAAAGTCCATATAATATTATTAAAAGATCCATAGTCAAGTATTATAGGCATGGACAATAATATGCTTAAGACTAACATGTTATTGATTGATGACAAGGAGTTGTCATTGACATAGAGATGTCAAAATTGATACATGATTATATTGTTAGAGAACAATGTATTGGATTGACCAATCATGAGCATATGTTTGGATTATTATGTAACGGTCATAACATTGCTCATGGTGATGACTATATGTATGATCCTCAGACTTGAGATCAATGTCATCCCAACATATATTGTTATATTTGATACAGTTAAACATGCTCCGTAACTGGTTGCACTATAAAGACTGTTATTGAATATATTTCGATATATAGTGGGGTGTATATGGCTAAGATAGGATTTGTCCTTCCTACATAATAGAAAATATATCACAGGCCACTTGGTTGAGTGACTAGAAATGCATGGCCATGCTCGAATAAGTTGATATGTGATATCATATTCGTTAATTATAGTCTACTCTAGATATCAAGAAACAATAGATGTGCTATACAAGTGTGACTATTCTAAGACTTGTGCCTATTCTAGATATAAAGGACAAAAGGATTAATACATAAAAGAGTTAATCACGAAGATGATATGTCAAATCATAATTCTTGTAACTTAGGTGACAATGATATATTGCGATGTCACTCAGTGTATGTAATATTAGAATTGTTCTAATAATTACTACTAACGTTACAATACCTACAGGGTCACACCCTAGGATTGAAATGAGCAAAAATGTACAATTTGTTGTATGTTACTAAAATATATGTAGAGTTATGATATGTATTTTATACATATGATTTTAATTATCCCGAATATAGTAAGTAAGCATTAAAAGAATGTAATTTAGATTACAACTCTTTAATTGGTATATAAATTCGAAATAATTAAATAAGTTTTAAATAAACATTAAAGATTATAATTTAGATTATAAGTCTTTAATGTATATTTAATTGAATTAGTTAAATAATATTTTATTGTTAATTCGAAATAACTTTGAAAACCCTAAGATGTTAGGGTAGTGATATAAAAGGGTGTGTTAGGTCTAGCAGTCGGTTTTAACACACACACATAAACCTTCAGCCGTTTTCTCTCAAAACAGTTTTTGGGAAAACAAATATTGCTCTCAATCGGTGAACTGAGTAGAGGCCGAGACGTGATTTCATGGAGGCTTATGATTCGAACCGTTCTACACCACCAGTATTCACTGTTGTTCTTGTTGTTTTCAAGGAACCCGCTGTAAGTATTCGTATCTCTTTCTCTCGATTTCGGTTTTACGTACTTGGATCACTGGTGAGATCGTCGAGTTTTGTTTCCGCTGCGTCGTGGGTGCGCCGACGGTCCCAACATTACAATAAGCTCAAAACACAACTATTTACAAGAGAAAGGAAAATAGGAATGAAAACTCTTCTCTTGTGTTTGATTGCTTGGATAGGTGTTTTAACCCTTCTTCAAGTGTCCTCAACTTGTTTTTATATGTTGGAATGTATTTGTTGTCGTTTATAGCCGTTAGGGATGTTTTCTCTGCAAATGAAACTGCCCTGGACAGGGAGTATCGGTACTCCTTTAATGAGTATCGATACTTCCTTTATATTTTAAAAAACTAGCCGTTAAAGATCATTGGGCTTACCAGTATCGATATAATGATCATGGTATTGATACTACTTTGTACAGTAGTATGATACTCCTTTGAGTATCAGTACCTATTTTGCATTCTGGAATTTGAGCAAGCTGGTAGTATCGAGACTACCTTGAGAGTATCGATACTTCTCTACCTTTGGTATCAGTACCACATGAATAGAATCGGTATTGTTCATATAGTATCGATACTGTAAAAACAATTTAGTACTTCGTACCTTGAAAAACAGTTTTGTGCTCAAATTCTAGTTTGGACTTTGAATTATTTTTGAAAACTTGAACAAATTCAATTAAGTCCAAACACATTTTGCCTTAATTTGTTATATCAAAACATTATAAAACATAGTTCAACAGATGAGGATGAGTTATAGTTGGAATAAAAGAGATAACAAGTCTCTTTATCTTTATCCTCAAACTCCTTTCAAATCAAACTTCTTTATCTCCTTAAACTCTACGTGGATATCCAAATTTTTAGGACTTATCCCTTGTTTGTCGTGCTTATCTTGAATGAGTGGACTTATTCAGTCATCATTGGTAATAGGCTCGGCAAACCCTTCAGAAATCAGCTCCAATGTTACGACAATTCCTGCTTGCCTAGGCAATCCTTAACCTACACAAGTTAACATACTTCATCAGCGTCTTTTCCAAAAAAACCAACCAGAAGTAATATCAAACTTAACAATGAAGGAACTATGGAATCATGCATGAGACTAATAATGCAACTAAATTGAGCCTAGATCTAGCAATAATTGTATGAAAAATGGTAGAAAATATAGTACTTTTATACACTTAACAATAACCGACGATAGAGACAGTCAACGAAAGTGTATATGGAGTATAGAATTATGAATTTGAGTAGTGAAAATTTTAAGGATTTAGAGGATTGGGACAATGACAAGAGTAATTATCTTGTTGTTTGATGACGGTAGTAATGGTTGACCATAACTGACGTGACGATAATATGGTGATAAGATGACAGTAGATGTAAGTATAGAAATAGAATTTATGTATTGTGGATATAAGTTAGGGATTTAGAAGATTAAGGCGATGATAAGGGCAATAACGATCACTAAATGGATGAGCCGATTAGATAGTTTGTCTTGACTGCGACGATAACAAAGGAAGGTGATCAACATTGATAAATATACCTGAAAATAATTTTTTTTAAAATTATCCTAAAAATAATGTTAAAATATGAAATACATACTTCAAATAAAATATACTTTAAAAACCTAAAATAAATAAAGGATATTTTTTCATTAAACCAAAAATACAACGATAAAACAATGAAGTACATTTGAAAGGTGACAACCTGTCCAATTATCGCCTATTAAATTAACGGAAAGATTTCAGTTACAACAAGACATAGGGACCACGTATAAATCGGCACAGTTTAAGTCTAACCTCATGGGAGGCGCAAGTTAGCAACAAGACGATGGGCGGTTAACTTGTAAACTTTGAGTACCGTTGCGTTTTTGGAGTCTATAAAAAAGCATAACCCTCTCTCTCCACTCTCTGAGGATGTATTTTTACCCTGCCTTTTTCTTGTTGAATCGTTTCGGAAACTAAAGTGAAGCAAAAGCTGAAGCCGTTTCAGATTCAGAGAACCCTCTCACACCAAACAGCCTAAACAAACAGAGAAAGAGATTCGATTTTTCTTTACGGTGGAAGAAATAATTATTCATCTTTCAGAAATGCAACATGAAGTATGAACTCAATTAAAACTCCAAAAAAAATGATTTGCAATGGGCTGAGCCATCCAACAGCAGAGAGATGGAAGGATAGGGTTTAAATATTCTGCATCTGTTGGCACTTCACTGGCTCAACTCCTGTGGAATTATAGCTACGTTTCCGGTTTTCATGCCCTCGTGTTCTTCCTTTCTTGCTTTATGGCTCATGAGGTCATTAACTCTTTAAATTTCGCATCCCGAGTTCTGAAACACAACATATTAACTTTTAAAAAATCCAAAATAATGCTGTTAGAGGGTTAAGATTAAGGGTTTGTAGCAATAACTGCCCAAAAAATCTAACCTTTATTATCCTGGTTTCTGATCTGTCTGGAATTCTTTTGCTTGGCCTGAATCCAGTAACTACAAGGAACCATAAAAACTCCCCTTCATTTTACTTATGTTCTTTGATTGATGCATCAAACCAAAAAAACTCAAGCGTAAAGTGCGGACTATGATCAAGTAATAACGACAAGATCAGAACAAATTGCATTAACTAAGACTAGAATGAATGGTATTGAAACAATGGTTTTCACTAGTTTTCCACCTACTGAAATATGATATATGTTGACAGATGAGGTTCCCATTCACAATGTAATATTTCACAGAAGAGCACAAACTTAGACACTCCGACTTCCTAGTCTGATAAAATGGCAATTTGAGATTAGCATAAACTAGCAATCCGTCTATTGAGAAGACAGGGGTATCAATTAGCTAGGACAAGCAAATGATTAATTCATTAATTGGTTATCTAATATCGGAATAGAGATATACCAAGAGAATATACGAGAAATATATGATATATAGCCAATAACATAACAAACAAACATTGTCAAAATTCAGTATCAATTTAGAAAATGATAAAAGTATAACTCAAAACAACAGCAGCGATATACAAGTATTTCAAATATAATTCAGGATACCTTAATCTCATCTTCTGTATATGGTTTCATTCTGGCTCTAAGTAGAAAAGTACAAAAAGTGTCAATTTTCAGTGTTGAAGCTATTCGCTATGCCAACATGAATACGGTGGAAGAATTTATTATCCCTATTTAATAGCAGCATTACCTGTCAAGACCTAAAACAGTATAGTGAGTGATGTGATAATGGATAGCGTGCACTACCTCTTTGAGGTGGCCTGTAATTGGTTCTTTGATCTTTGTAAGATACATCCGCCTTCCAATACCAATCATCTCGCTGTGATAAGCACCATGATTTTCCTTCCAGCTCTCATAGCTCCTTTTGTTTTATTTCGCTCCCAGTTAAACACACTCTGCATGCACCTCTCTCCTACAAAGAGAAGAAGGAATTAATTAACACATGATGATATCAAACTGGTCTACTAAAGAAGATATCAATACGAGCAGGGCTGAAGCTGGGGGTAGGTGGTTGCAGTCCCCATCCAAAATTTAAAATTGATGTAACTGGTGTTAAAAGAATATTAAGAGTATTAGTCATAAAACAAAGTGATGTAACGGCGTTAAAAGAAGATAATTGCACATAAGAATTACTGTTCACCCATCTTACATTCTCTATACCAATGTACCAAATCACAAATGATTTCAGGAAAATACCATTACAGATAACTTCCATAAGATGGCAATGAAATAGCCGCACAAATCTGGGTAAATCTTCCAGTGATTCAACAATTCGACACAAGTCTCACCATCAAATATTAATATTACAATTTATCATTCCTTCAAATATCATATAACTGGCAATAACAATTCCCAATTTAAAACATCCTAAATTTACACTTTGTAAAACATGTTGGAAGACCGTAGGAAGTAAAAACAAAGCAAAATTAAAGAATGCTCACATAAATCACAAGCTTACCACTCTTTCCAAGTACACACGTGTTCAACTATGTCGAATTACAAAAAAGAGAACTAAGAGAAATGAGAACATGAGAAATGCTATATTAAAATGTAAGATATAAGAAAAAGTATAAATATATACAAAATTCAACAAAGCAACATTTGAGCGTAACACAGCACAGCCATATCCTTAAATTTAGAAATGTTAGCCCGTTAAGCATCTCAAGGTAGCAAAGCAATAATTTGATGAAAAAAAGATCTCTCAAATGAATCTCTTCTTGAAATATAATCTTTACTTGGATAAATTTCTATCATCCTATTAACAATATGCTTTCAGGAAAACAACCGAAAAATTACAATCCTTGTTTAAATTTATAAGAACTGAAAATTTATAAGAAAAGAAATTCCTTCCAACATTCATTTTTAAGAAAACTATGAAGATAGATATTGATGATTAACCATAAAAGGGAGTAATTTCCTCCAACCATTCCAAATTTCAACTACAGCTCTATGGAATCATTGAGAGCTGAATCGGTGAAAGAACTTGTTTTTAGTATAACCGAGTATATATCCAATCAACAGACCTCCTCAGCTGCCTAACATGCCAGATTGTAACTACAAAGGAAAATTATAACACACAGCTGCTCCCACCAAAACTGATTTATTAATACAATTTGTTTTCATTGTTCCTCAGAAGATAAAAACCTAACCTTGATTCTAATTTTTTTTATGGCCCCAATTTCAAATCAAAGAGAAAAAAAACCCTAACATACTGATAGATAAAAAAATTCAACAAAATTAGGAAAAAATTGAAACTTTAAAAAGGGCAAGAGTGAACGGAAGCACTTACCGCGAAAGTGGTTGCAGTGGCGCCAATTAAACCGAAGAGGAAAATTCCCCAAAGGCTGAGGTCTTCATCTTTCGCTTTATAATCCCAGCTCGGAGATGACCATTGCTTACTCTTATCCCTGTCAGCACCATCGCCTCCCATTTCTCTTGGTTCGCCAAATTCCCCAATTAACGATTTATCAACAATCTCTTTGCCGCAATTCAATTTCAATACCAAACCCTGATCGCATGGCAATGATTCTTCTCCCCTTCAAGGTTCTCTCTTTTCTTTTCAATTTTAATAATATTTAGGAAGGAAATTAATTCTGTTTTATTTTCCTTCACCGCCGTTGAATTTGAATTGATTCTCTCTTAAGATTTGAATTTTCCAGAAATTAAAGAGTTCGTGACAAATATAACCTTCAAACATTTATGTTTAATGTAGTACTTATTTTTTACAATTAAATATTTAATATTCTTTGTGATCTAGGTATTTAATATTTATGGTATTATTAAATATTTAAATTTTTATTTTTTGAAATAATTAAACATCTAATATATATATACATATATATATTCTTACTTAAAAGTTCAATACCTATTTTTTAAATCTATAACACATGACGACATTAAATTTATAAATATGAATTAATCATAAGTATACCAAAAATGTTATAAATACAAACCAAACGATATCGAGATAAACAAATTGTTATTATTTTTTTAAGTTTCGTATTTGAGCACAAAAAATATCAGAAATACAAATATTTAATGTCAAATAATTGAGAGTTATATTTAAACTATTATAAAGATAAAATAAAATAAACACCTTAAAAGACTAAATAATTAATTACACAAAAAGTTAAAGTTGCATTTAATTAAAAAAGTTGAATTTAATATTGCAAATAACTATCAAAGTTATATACAAAAAGTTATATTCATCATTAAGATGGGTATCGGTTAGATTTCTGGTTAATCCGATTCGATAAAATATAACTTTCACGTTAAATTTGATTTAATCCAAATTTAGGGTAATTTCACCCGACTTGAAATCAGACTCGTCTTTTTAGATAAAATCTACACTCGGCTGTCCTAATCCGATAAAAATATATAAATTAGAATCTTGTTCGATAAAATAGAGATCAAATTGAAAAAAATATATATATAGAGATGAATATTATCACAATTATTCATAAATATAAGGTATAATTACATTATTATTTGGGTTAGATATTTTTCATCCTAAATTCGAACTTAACAGGCTCAAACTTATAATCTGAAAAAAATATCGACCCGAATCAAAATCAATATTTAAAAAAAAATCGACCATATAGGATTTAGGTTGGAACCCATCATGTCCCGGCCCGTCCCCATTCCTAAAAGCGACAGAAATGCGATGTGTTTGGGGCCGTGCCCATCCCTAAGAGAGACGGAAATGCGATGTGTTTGGGGCCGTGCCCATCCCTAAGAGAGACGGAAATGCAATCCAAGATTAATGCCCAGTGCCATCCCTAAACGAGACCGAAACGCAATCCAATATCATAAATGCAATCTATCACCCAATACAGGGACTAATGTGATACTTCAACCTCATTTAATTTAATAGAATTTGTTATATTCTAATGTTTGGTATAACTTTTTTGGGGGTTAGATTGAGTGAAACACTGCGATTTAAATTATATGTTGAATTATTATGGAAAGAAGAAACACATCAATTGTCCGTTAAGGAAGACTTCCATTACCGAGTAAGTCACAAGTAAAAAAGGAGGCTTAATTTTTTCCAAACATGGGATGAAGGTCACCATTAACCTTGTCTTTAATTTCTTACAGCATTTCCAAGCTTTACCTTTTCCTTTTGACAATCTTGGTCGTCAGTTCACTCATCAAACCCACTTTCTTCTATATTCTCTTTAATTTTACACACATGATGATGCATCACACAAACTGAAACATAACATCTTTTACACCCGCACATCAACCCTTTATTAAAAAGGCATGAACATGTCAGATGTATTTAGATTTATGGGCAGAATAGGCTTGACTAGTTTGTTCCACAATGTAAATGTTAAATACTCGAGAACTGGGGCATATGTTTTAACTAGTTTAACACCCTAGTCCAACCCATTTTATCTTCTGTAAGACCCATCTGTATATTTGCTAGGGCAGAGTAGAGCTGCTGAGACACCACAAATCCACTCTCTCCATACTCCACCCTGCAATAACCCGATCGAGCAGCGAATAAACATCGCAAAATCATAAGACTCCTTGAGGTTCTCTCTAAAAACTCTCAGCATGATATTAAAGTTCAAGAAAATGCACCTTCTCTCAGCATGTCTTAAGCTGCCATTTGAAAAGCTCCCGTCTTCAGAACTTTTCATAACATAAACATAGTCCGTTTTCACAGGATTGAATCCAAGGCTATCCCATCTTCTCTCAAGTGATTCATATGTTTCCCTATTTGTTTTAAAAGGAAACTCATCAAAAACCATTTTAGAAGTGAATTACATGGTACCAAAGCACAACAAGAAACATAAAAATATCTGGGAGGTAGTTAAAAATTTAGACTTTACCAAAACCTAGGGCTAGCACAACAAGTACCAGTTTTCGATCAAGGAAAAAGAGTAGTTTTATTCTAAGTAAATGCATTATCTATAAGTTGTATAGGCCATTGAAAGGAAATGGAACCACCAGAATCAAACAGTATAATTGAAAGAAAAAGACTAGTGTTTATTACGTATGAGCATCCGATGCAGTCGCTCGGCGCCATGAAGAAGAGGAAGACAAAGAAACATGTGAAGATATAGAAGCCAAATGAGGCTGACGGCGAAACTGCAAAGAATCAAACTTTTTGTTTAAGGAAACTGATCCATTGAATTGATTTTGTTGGTGTTATATCTGCAAAGGAAATAAGCGAGTACCGTCGAAGAAGAGAATTGGAAGATTGTAGCGTCTGGAAACCTCAGTTGAACGCTAAACATCTCTGTTTCTGGATTTTGTTTTCGTTTGCTGCGGAATATCGGGAAGTTTCAGGGTTTGATCGTCAATTGATTGAGTACCATGAAGGTTGTTCCACTTGGACAACTTTAAACTAGACACAATCCGCAAAGGTTTCATAATACGTGTAATTTTCTTCTTCTTTCCTTTGTTAGTAAAACAAATCAGATTTTTATGGAAAGAAAAAGCTCCTTTTTCCTTGCAATTTCTATTTCGTTGTGTAAAACTTTCCCCCCGGGAGGGGGGGAATCATATTTCATTGAGCATCCCCTGGAGGTTTCATAATACGTGTAATTTTCTTCTGTTTTCCTTTGTTAGTAAAATAAATCAGATTTTTATGGAGAACCTTCACTATCGTTTGGTTCACGAAATATAAGATTATCAGGGAATATGATTACTGGAAATGTTGTATTTTATGTTTGATTGGTTTAACAGTAATGTAAGATTACCTTGTTTGGTTAAAGGAATAAAAGATTATTGGAATGTATATTTAACCAAATTGTCCTTATTATATATTTGTATAATATTACAAATTGTAAAATATTTATATATTTTCTTTAAAAAATTAAATTCATAATATTTATATAATTTTTTACAAAATTAAAAATATAAAAAAGGTTTAATGAAAGGGTAAAAAAAATTCAATCTCTGAACTTCATATAAAATTGTAATTATAGAATTTTTTTTGTAAATCTAAAATAATTTAAGGATAAATTTGTAATTTAACCTTCGTAGAATTTTTATTATTCAATGACAGAAGAAATATATTTTTGAAAAAAATAAAAATTTAAGGGCATTTTAGTCCAAAACGACGGTAATATTATAATACATAAGGGAATGGAGGTAATGACATTTCCGGTAATATACCCAAAAAATCTACTATTAGTAATAAAACATTACCGGGAATGAGATTCCCGGCTAACCAAACATGGGAATGTGGAATTCCTATCTCATGAGAATTTCACAATCATAGGAATTTCACAATCCTTGAACCAAACACTCCCTATGAGTATGACTACATAAAGATGATCGTTTACCGTATTGGGATGGTTTAACACGATGAGGCTAGCCCACTAGATTTGAGGCCCTTCAAGATTTGTCGTAGATAGGACTAGATAGAATACAAGTTATTTGAGATCGATTTAATTAAAGTTTGATAAATATTCGATTCGAATGAGTTTAACTTGAGCTTAAGTTTTACTCGAATTCTTAAGCCGAAACGAGCTACTTGAACTCGACTCAAGAAGCTCGACAGCAGCTCGGAAATATAATATATTAAGATTTTATTTTTTAAAAATAAATTATTAATTAATAATATTAACATTTATGTGTTGATTTTTCAAAAAATGCAATATAAGATTTTTTTATGTATTTAAGGTTCAAGTTTGAGTTTAAGTTTGAGTTTAAGCTTGAGTCTTTAATCAAGTTAAGTTTAAGATTCTTTTTTCGAGCTTTTACGAGCTTCAGTTTATGATTTTGAATTTGAGTTGAACTTAAAAAATTTAAACTCACGAGTTTTTGAGTCGAGTTGAGCTTAGTAATACTCGAACTCGACTAATTTACATGCCTAACAGATCAATCTCAAACTTTGTTCCTCGGCTTCTCTCCTAATGATCTAATACCGTTAAAATTACCCCTCTCCATTCTCATTACAATCCTAAAGTTACTTTGGATCATTCATGGTGTAAATTATGAGTGTCTTCATCTAGGGGTGTTTAAATAACCGAACTAATTCGGTTAACTGACCGAACCGAATTAATTCGGTTAATTCGGTCGATCATCGAATTCGATCGGTCGGTTAACGGTTAAGAAAATTTTTAGAATTCGGTTAACGGTTAATTCGGTTCGAAATCGATTAATTAACCGAATTAACCGAAATTAAATTTTAAATATATTATATATGAGCCCAAACCATTTACAACTTAATTAATAATTTAAAATCCAATAACTTTTAAACCTAAATCAATATTAATTAATTAAAAAAATTATATAAAATTTTTATTTTATAAATATATATTATTTAAATTAATTGTAAACTGATTTTTTGAATTAAAAAATATTATATATATTATATATAACATATGAGCTCAGCCCAAACCATTTAAAACTCAATTAATAATTTAAGATCTAATAACTTTTAAACCTAAATCAATATTATTTAATTAAAAAATTTATCTAAAATTTTTATTTTATAATTATATATTATTTAAATTAATTATAAAATTTTTTGAATTAAAAAATTATAATTTTTATATAAATTAGAAAATTTTAAAAATTTTCGGTTAATTCAAAAATTAACCGAAATTTATTAGGTTCGGTTAATATTTTTGAAAAAAGTTCGGTTCGATTAACGGTTAAAAAAAAGTTTAATTAATTTGGTTAATGGTAATTTGATTATATTCGTTTCGATTTTAACCAAATGAACAATCCTATCTTCATCTGTATACATATAAATTTATCTTATCAAATTAAATAAATGTGAAACTATCTGTTTAGTCCCACCTAATACTTTTATTTTTATCCAATTTCTTTTGTTAAAAACATAGATTACGTCTCTATCATAAATATTTAAATTATTTATTTATTTTTAAATAATTTAAAATTTATATTCTATCATAACTATATATTATAAATGTGTTTTTAAATAATTTAATATTATTTATATACAATATATAAATAATTATTTAACCCCTTTTTTATTCTCAAATTAAATTAAAAATTAATTTTGTGTTTAATTAAATCTAATATAAATTAAAATATTGACTTTAGTGAAATATTAATATATTTCAATTTTAATTTAGAACTTATCAAATGACCTCAATGGAAAAAAGAATATTGTTCTTTCTATAGATTATAGGTTTCAATAATTATGTTTAAATAATATATATGCTATTAATTGATTAAATTTTTGAATAAATATTAACTTATAGTCACTCTAAATTATTCAAAAAAAATCTCAAATTTAAATATTGTAATCAATCAAAATTATTTGTTTTATGATGGTAATATAATATAACTTAAATAAAATTTTATTGTAGAATACCAACAGGGGTTGGTTCAAGTGGTAAGCAGCTTGATATCGCTTAAGTAAGGTCTCGAGTTCGAGTCCTTATGTATGCAGAAAATTCTTACTGGAAAACTCACCCACCAAAGTCAAATGTGTGATGCGGGTCAATTCAAAATTAATCAAGACGAAGCCTTGAAACCAAAATTACAACCCAAAAAACTGGGTGGAATGATTAAAAAACAGCATGTTTTGTTAGATGAGTGCTTGGCCACTTTCCAACGGAAGTAGGACATTCATGACCATTATTTTTATTTTATTCTTTTTTCACTAACTTAAGGTGATTATAATATCCGTTTTAAATAATTTTAATTATTTAATAATAAATATTCAATCACTCTGGTTATAATTATTGGAATTTAAATTCAGAATATTTAAGAATAATAATAATCTCTTTAACTATTGAAGTAATTTCATTCCTACTATGTTATTCTTATATAGCAACACAAATTATCATTTTATTAATTAAAAATCATTAAAAGTATTATTACAGTATTAATAACAAAAGAAAAAAATTACGTGAAAATTATATATAAAATGTTGGTATTGTAATTAATTTTTTTGGATAAACTACATAATTGACCACTCAACTATAGGGCTAATCTCAAAATGACCACCATTTTTAAATTTACGTCAATATGATCATTGAACTATTTAAATGGTTTCAATAAAACCACCTGTCATTAACATTTAACGGAGGTGTTTACGTGGCAATTAACAAAATTTATATAATTAGGACATGGATCCTTGTAAAGTTACGTATTCGTGGCACTGTCACCCTACTTTGTTTTCTTCCATTTTGGTCACTACTAGTGTATGATTTGTTTCCTTCGATTTTCATTTAATGCAATTTAATCTCGATTTTGTTTTTAATTTGTCTAATGTCTTAATTCCAGCATTAACTTTAAAATCTTTTATTCTAGTCATGTACTAAATTTATATATTAAATCCCCTAGGTTTTAGAATTAATCGTTGAGCCAATTCTCACACTTGTTATCAAGATAATACAAATATAACTTGTTTAGGTTTAGACAGAAAAATAAATCTAAAATAACCCAAAAATTGGGTGGAATGATAAAAAAAAGCATGATTTGTTAGATGAGTGCTTGGCCACTTTCCAACGGAAGTAGGACATTCATGACCATTATTTTTATTTTATTTTTTTTTCACTAACTTAAGGTGATTATAATATATGTTTTAAATAATTTTAATCATTTAATAATAAATATTCAATAACTCTGGTTATAATTATTGGTATTTAAATTCGGAATATTTAAGAATAATAATAATTTCTTTAACTATTGAAGTAATTTCATTCATACTATGTTATTCTTATATAGCAACACAAATTATCATTTTATTAATTAAAAATCATTAAAATTATTATTAGAGTATTAATAACAAAAGAAAAAAATTACGTGAAAATTATATATATATATATAATGTTGGTATTGTAATTAATTTTTTTTGGATAAACTACATAGTTAACCACTCAACTATAGGGCTAATCTCAAAATGACCACCATTTTTAAATTTGCGTCAATATGATCATTGAACTATTTAAATGGTTTCAACAAAGCCATATGCCATTAACATTTAACGGAGGTGTTTACGTGGCAATTAACAAAATTGATATAATTAGGACGTGAATCCTTGTAAAGTTACGTATTCGCGGCATTGTCACCCTACTTTGTTTTCTTCCATTTTGGTCACTACTAGTATATGATTTGTTTCCTTCAATTCTCATTTAATGCTAATTAATCTCGATTCTGTTTTTAATTTGTCTAATGTCTTAATTTTAGCATTAACTTTAAAATCTTTTATTCTAGTCATGTACTAAATTTATATATTAAATCCCCTAGATTTTAGAATTAATCGTTGAGCCAATTCTCACACTTGTTATCAAGATAATACAAATATAACTTGTTCAAGTTTAGACAGAAAAATAAATCTAAAATAACTTAATTGCATT